TATACAAGTGGTATCAGCAGATGAGGTCAAGGTTAGAAGGAATGGTAAGTTTGCAAAAGTTTTTGATGAGCAACAAGGAGTTAGACAACGTGGTGTATTGTCTCGTTTATTTTAATCCATTATTATGTTACTTCAGAGAAATTTTAGATACATGTATTGACTCAATAGATATAGGAATATGTGGTATGAGTGCCAATGAGACAACTCTCCATCCAAGTAACAATTTATAAAAGTAAACCATTATAGGTCAAGGTACGGCCTTCAACACGGAGCATTGGCTCACACCGAACAGCAAGCTATAAAGGGCCCCAAAAATTACTAGTGTAAAACCATTCAAACGGGAAAACCAACGGTTTTATCTATATAAAAACGAGAAACGAGAAACACGTATGAACTACATAAACAGACGACAACTACTGTACAACAGATTCCTAACTTAGAACAGGTGCAAACATTTGCAGCGGGATTAAACAAACACTTTTCCAATAATACTGCAAACAGTGATACACTTTTTAAAATTTGGGTCATGTAAAGCCTTTAATCATGACTATTGTGTAAAGGTGTAATACTTATACTATACTATATATAAAAATATTTTAATTTTGGTGAACCATTTAGGTCGCAAAATCCCTCCACAATTCCAAAGAGTAAGGAGAGTTGTACAAATAATGTGGATGCTCAGAAACCCTATCCAATCCTTTGACAGTTTCTTAGCTTGGTCAGATCTCTGAATATTAACAAGTTTATAGAAAAGGTTTTAATTTGAAGTATAATTAAGAGTCCATAATTTCACTCAAATGTCTCTGGGATTGTCGAAGTTTCAAATTAACGTGTTGTTCACCCATAAAGTGCATGTTTCATATATTATAGTCCTGGATGTTTACTTTCATCACACAGTCGTCTCAAATTTGGAGTTCAGGGCCTGACCATTACAACTGCTGATTTCTCTGTACTAGTTTTCAAAATATCAGCCACAATTTGATATTGTTGATCTAAAGTTCTAGATGTATTATAATATCTAAAGAATCCAACTTTTCATTAAATACGCTTTGGTTTATTGAAGTATCACATTTTACTATATTCATTGTAACAATATTGTCTTCATCAGTTTTTTTCAACTCCCTGAAAATTACACTGTAAGGTGGGAGTGCATGACTGGCACTTATGACGATACATTTAATGGTGACATACACTATATTCTGTAAGGTGGCAGTGACTGGCACGTGTGACGATAGATTTAATGGTGACATACAATGTATATCTATCTTTGTTAAAAAGTTACTATCATTAAAAAGTAAAATATATTCTTTTTGTGATGAAGCTTTGTTATTGTGGTGAAAAAAAAGTATTACATAAAGGATAACACAGAGATCCCAGTATTGACGTTACAAACCTTTTTTCCCTTGTGGTTTCCAGTATTGACAAACCTTCTGTCCCTTTGTTGTTTCTAGTCTTGACGTTACAAACCTTTTGTCCCTTGTTGTTTCCAGTATTGACGTTACAAACATTTTGTCCCTTGTTGTTTCCAGTATTGACGTTACAAACCTTCTGTCCCTTGTTGTTTCCAGTATTGGCGTTACAAACTTTTTGTCCCTTGTTGTTTCCAGTATTGACATTACAAACCTTCTGTCCCTTGTTGTTTCCAGTATTGACGTTACAAACCTTCTGTCCCTTGTTGTTTCCAGTATTGACAAATCTTCTGTCCCTTGTTGGTTCTAGTATTGACGTTACAAACCTTTTGTCCCTCGTTGTTTCCAGTATTGACGTTACAAACCTTTTGTCCCTTGTTGTTTCCAGTATTGACGTTACAAACCTTTTGTCCCTTGTTGTTTCCAGTATTGACAAACCTTCTGTCCCTTTGTTGTTTCCAGTATTGACGTTACAAACCTTCTGTCCCTTGTTGTTTCCAGTATTGACGTTACAAACCTTTTGTCCCTTGTTGTTTCCAGTATTGACAAACCTTCGATCCCTTGTTGTTTCCAGTATTGACGTTACAAACCTTCTGTCCCTTGTTGTTTCCCGTATTGACGTTACAAACCTTTTGTCCCTTGTTGTTTCCAGTATTGACGTTACAAACCTTCTGTCCCTTGTTGTTTCCTGTATTGACGTTACAAACCTTCTGTCCCTTGTTGTTTCCAGTATTGACGTTACAAACCTTCTGTCCCTTGTTGTTTCCAGTATGGACGTTACAAACCTTCTGTCACTTGTTGTTTCCAGTATTGACGTTACAAACCTTTTGTCCCTTGTTGTTTCCAGTATTGACAAACCTTCTGCCCTTGTTGTTTCCAGTATTGACGTTACAAACCTTCTGTCCCTTGTTGTTTCCAGTATTGACGTTTCAAACCTTTTGTCCCTAGTTGTTTCCAGTATTGACGTTACAAACCTTTTGTCCCTTGTTGTTTCCAGTATTGACGTTACAAACCTTCTGTCCCTTGTTGTTTCCTGTATTGACGTTACAAACCTTCTGTCCCTTGTTGTTTCCAGTATTGACGTTACAAACCTTCTGTCCCTTGTTGTTTCCAGTATGGACGTTACAAACCTTCTGTCACTTGTTGTTTCCAGTATTGACGTTACAAACCTTTTGTCCCTTGTTGTTTCCAGTATTGACAAACCTTCTGCCCTTGTTGTTTCCAGTATTGACGTTACAAACCTTCTGTCCCTTGTTGTTTCCAGTATTGACGTTACAAACCTTTTGTCCCTTGTTGTTTCCAGTATTGACAAACCTTCTGTCCCTTGTTGTTTCCAGTATTGACGTTACAAACCTTCGATCCCTTGTTGTTTCCAGTATTGACGTTACAAACCTTCTGTCCCTTGTTGTTTCCCGTATTGACGTTACAAACCTTTTGTCCCTTGTTGTTTCCAGTATTGACGTTACAAACCTTCTGTCCCTTGTTGTTTCCTGTATTGACGTTACAAACCTTCTGTCCCTTGTTGTTTCCAGTATTGACGTTACAAACCTTCTGTCCCTTGTTGTTTCCAGTATGGACGTTACAAACCTTCTGTCACTTGTTGTTTCCAGTATTGACGTTACAAACCTTTTGTCCCTTGTTGTTTCCAGTATTGACAAACCTTCTGCCCTTGTTGTTTCCAGTATTGACGTTACAAACCTTCTGTCCCTTGTTGTTTCCAGTATTGACGTTTCAAACCTTTTGTCCCTAGTTGTTTCCAGTATTGACGTTACAAACCTTTTGTCCCTTGTTGTTTCCAGTATTGACGTTACAAACCTTTTGTCCCTTGTTGTTTCCAGTATTGACAAACCTTCTGTCCCTTGTTGTTTCCAGTATTGACGTTACAAACCTTCCGTCCCTTGTTGTATCCAGTATTGACGTTTCAAACCTTTTGTCCCTAGTTGTTTCCAGTATTGACGTTACAAACATTTTGTCCCTTGTTGTTTTCCGTTTACGGATCAATGCGGCATGCAAGTCCCCTAATATTATAATCGTGTGATCTGAAAACTTAACAGTTAATTCACTGCTCTCACCGAAACCGTTATCTTTAAGTTTTGAGAGCAGATTCTTAAGTGGCGGATCCAGAAATTTTCAAAAAAAGGGGGGGGGGTTCACTGACTGCCTAAGAGGGTCCAGTTCCAGTCATGCTTCAGTGATTCCCAAAATAATCAATTTTTCCCACAAAAGGGGGGCTCTGGCAACCTACACCACTAAATCTGCCTCTGTTCTTTATTAGAAAGTTCTAGCTTTTAATATAAAAATAAGGAGATGTGGTATGTGGTACTTGGGAGATGTGGTATGTGGTAGTTGTTTTTCCTTTTCAGGTAAGTGGTCTAATGTTTTGATGTCACTAAAGCAAATGTTAATATTTACGAACTTTGGTTGGCTTGCAAGATTACTCTTACTATTTTGATCACCCCAATCTCCCTTGCATTTAAAACTTTCACAATGGACAGACAACTAATGTCAGTTAAGGGAGCAACCATTTAACTACAAAAGGGGGGTATGGTTTTTTTGTCTGAGTCAGAAAAAATGCGAAATTTTTATTTAATTTTTCGATGTTATCAATCAAATTATTTTTTTCAAAATTTAACACTATAAGGTATTGGGGAAAATCTGGATTCAGAATATTTGTTTTTTGTCATCTGCTTGACCACAACATTTTTTTTCATCAAAATGGGGGTCAGAATATTTTTTTAGGAAAAAACCATAACCCCACATTGAAGTTAAATGGTCGTTCCCTAAGTTATCTGTGGATGGATTACATTCAAGTTTCAAATCTATCAATATAATCTATTGCCAATAAGTCTCTACAGCTAGCACAAGAGAAATAATTATCACTACTCTCAAGGCCCGTTCTATCAGAGGGTGATGTGTTTTCACAATCATAGTGAGAAAAAGCAGCTGAAAAGGGGGTAGCTACGGGCGCTGGCTGCATGCGACAATTGCCTCCTTGGGAATTATACTACATTTCCTTTATGTTCTATGCATCATAATAGGGCTCTTTACATCCATATAAAACTATGAACTTGATAGAATTTGATTGGTATGTTAAATGTATAAGATATATTTGACAATTTTTCAATTCCTAATTAAAGCAGAACATATAGATAAGTTTGAAAGTAACACTTCAATTTCGACTGAAACTATAACCTACTTCTCTTGTTTTAAAGACAGTATCTCATTTAGGATTGCTCGTGGACGTTTTGTTAACCTTTTGGTTATTAAATGATCTTTTTCTTATCTGATTTGGCCTTATAACTGTTGGAGCACCACTGATGAGTCTAATATAGACGGAACACTTGTCTGGCCTATCAAATTACAAGCCTGATGTCGTTAATGAGTATTTACAACCATTGGGTAGATGCTACTGTTTGTCCACGTTTCGCCACAGAGGATATAACCAGCCTAGTAGTCAGCACTTTTGTGTTTTCATGTCAACATGAAACAGCCTGGTATCTTTAATGAGGTTTTATAACATTGACCAAGTATAGTCTTTGTTATCTGAACCTTTTTACTAATCAACTGTGCTTATATATGACAACCAAAATGAAGACTAAAACATTGGGAGTAGTTTATTTTAAACTTACATTAAAAAAATACAGTAAAATAAATTTACTGTACAAAATACATATATCACAGCTATAAACAAGTTAAATGTCACTTTATAAGATTAATACTTTGATTGATTGATGGTTTCTTAACACCACCTTAGCAAATCATCATCAGGAGTCACTATTAGAGAATTAGGTCGTAAGAGGTAAACATGCAGATGGAAAAACAAAAAATACATATAATCACAATAATTTGGGACAATTTAATACTAATTCTGTATTATTAAACTTTAATTCAGAAATTATGGTTTACTTTGATAAATGAAAGTAAAACATATCAAATAAATTACTTAATACAATACAATATGCTTTATCTAAAAACACTCTGTCACATTCACATGTGAAACAAGAGGTAAACATATACAAAATACAATTGTATACAATCAGAGAAAGAAATAAAACAACTCTAAAATGGAATTATTAATAAAGTACTATGAAGACCTGAATATCATGAGGTGTCAGAATGATAAAGCATACCAAATGAATTCATTCTAATTACTAAGTAGTATGAAGACATGAATCCTGAGGAGTCAGAAAGGTAGCAGCCAAAGAGAGTGTTTTAGTATATTAAGATCTTGATATCTTGGGATGACTGGTATAAATAGTATAAATATATAATCAAGTAAATTATGTACAAATTAAAAATATCACACAACTAGTTTTTACTTGTTTTTGTACAAAACTTGGTAAAAAAAGTGAACTCAGCATCCAACACAAAGCAGTGGCAGATCCAGGGGAGGTTCTAAGGGTTCGACGATCAATGCATTTGAATGGGAACATATGGTTGGAAACCCCCTTTCTACTGGGTTGGGAACCCCCTTTTAAAAATGGCTGGATCCGCCTCTGCAAAAGCTTGACTACTAGCAGGACAAACTTAAAACCAAGTGGCAAATAAAACCAGATAAAGACTAAACAATATCACATAACTTGAAGACACTGTTCAAAGTATGTAAGTATTAAAGTTGAGGAGTAAGCATACATACAAGGAAACGATGACTTTCATAATTTTGAAGATGACATGGTTTAAAGAGCACATACAAGCCAGGTACATTTTTGGTCCATTGAATACATTTTCTTCAAGTTTTTCAATTTAACATTATAGTAAGATAGTATACTACATGATCATGATAATTAAACAGATATTGCTATTCAGTTATTATCACTAATGGCCCCACATCCTGTAAATATTTATAATTTGACATTGCCCAAGATCATCATTGTGATGTCTTATGATAGTCATGCACTGACTGTTTATGATGTCTTATGATGGTCATGCTCTGACTGTTTATGATGTCTTTTCACAAGATTGTCATGGTCATGCGCTGACTGTTTATGATGTCTTTACACTAAAACTGATGTTTAACCCAACATTTTGTTTCCAGAAAATGTCTGTACCAAGTCAGGAAATAGTTTTGTCATATGTAACGTTTCACATATATTATATGGGGCATTGTATAGCTTACTATACGGTATGGATTTTGCTCCTTGTTGAAGGCTGTATTGTGACCTGCAGTTGTTTACATTCCTGTCCTTTGTTTTTTCGGTGGATAGATGTCTCATTGGCAAGCATACCACAATTAATGATGTGCAGCATTATAGAAAGTACAAAGGGTGTTATTGCTAGAAAAGTCTTTGGAAATAGAGGTATTACAATTCTCTTTTCATCTTCTTCAAACAAATATAAATGATGAAAATGAGTCACTTTACTCTTGCTTTTCATACAGCTCTCGGTTCAGAATGCAAAGTTGCTTGACAAATCCATCATTAGGATGAACTGCTCTATGATCACGTACTGTCTTTAAGGCTTCAATTAACGTCATACCACGTTTTAACATCAGAAAGGCCAAAACAATGGTAGCTGATCTACTAATTCCTTGATGACAATGTACATACACTTTATTGCCTACAATGATAAAAACATTCTAAAATTACCTTTAGCATAGCAAGAGACATGCATGATTAACATTAGAATGCACTATTCTATGTATCTCTTGGTATTCCATTGATTGCATGATTAACATTAGAATGCACTATTCTATGTATCTTTTGGTATTCCATTAATTGCATGGAGTACTAATAAGGGAGATACCATTTGATTTTTATGGGGGGGGGGGGGGGGGGGGGGGGGGGGGGGGGCTAGGATGAAAAATTTTGTCCTGCAATTTTTTTAGTTGTAATCTCTGTCCTGCCTTTTTATTTTTCACTCTATATAGTCTATTCGGTCCTGCCTTTTTTTTTATTAGTTTATCCTAACTTTTTTTTACATAAATTGTCATCCTGCCTTTTTTTGGCCAAGTTGCTCATCCTGCCTTTTTTTTTTACTCAAAACTCCTGTCCTGCCTTTTTTTTCAAATTTCATCCTAGCCCCCCCATAAAAATCAAATGGTAGCTCCCTAACACTAGTTTAACCATACAGAGTTTCTGTTCCAAGTAAGGGACTTCAACAATGATACTAAAACACTAATTTAACCATACAGGGTGCCTGTCCCAAGTAATCATACAAGTTGCCTGTCCCAAGTAACCACACAGGGTGCCTGTCCCAAGTAATCATACAAGTTGCCTGTCCCAAGTAACCACACAGGGTGCCTGTCCCAAGTAACCATACAGGGTGCCTGTCCCAAGTAACCATACAAGGTGCCTGTCCCAAGTAACCATACACGGTGCCTGTCCCAAGTAACCATACAGGGTGTCTGTCCCAAGTAACCATACAGGGTGCCTCTCCCAAGTAACCATACAGGGAGCCTTCCCAAGTAACCACACAGGGTGCCTGTCCCAAGTAACCATGCAGGGTGCCTCTCCTAAGTAACCATGCAGGGTACCTCTCCCAAGTAAGGAACTTCCACAATGGTAACATTGGTAATATAACCCTATTTTTTGTCTTTTAAATAATTTGGTGTTGAAGAGAGGTCTGAAGTATTCTCTGTTAAATTTATTTACAACCTTCCCAGGAACTGGGAACTTTAGGTATTGACTTATACTCAACAAAATTAAACATAGTTTCAAACCTTGATCTTTCAAAGCTAGGAAAGAGACAATTTGATAGTTTCATACCTTGATCTTTCAAAGCTAGGAAAGTGACAATTTGATAGTTTTACACCTTGATCTTTCAAAGCTAGGAAAGTGACAATTTGATAGTTTTACACCTTGATCTTTCAAAGCTAGGAAAGTGACAATTTGATAGTTTTACACCTTGATCTTTCAAAGCTAGGAAAGTGACAATTTGATAGTTTTATACTTTGATCTTTCAAAGCTGAAAGTGACAATTTGATAGTTTTATATTATACCTTGATCTTTCAAAGCTAGGAAAGAGACAATTTGATAGTTTTATACTTTGATCTTTCAGAACATGGAAAGTAATTGTTGATATAAAATATTGTCAACAAGAGTGAACCAACTTCTAGTAAATCTGAAATGTGATAGAATCCCTGAAGTTGATACCATGAGTATGATGTTATGATAAAACACATAAAATGTACTTATAACAACAACACGATAGGGATTGCTGCAGTAAATAAATGACCAACTGTTTTGGTGCCTAGGATACCAGCATCAGGTTACACATAATACACAGGAAAAATAGGAAAATTCTTAATCCAACATCACAGTGTAAATAAAAGTATAAATAGAAAGTGAAAGTATAAATAGAAAGTGAAACATTTCAATATAATCAACATGAACAAGATATTAAAATAAAATTGTTCATGTATAAAGTATTTGCTTCAAATTTTATGTCAGAGTTATTTACTGAAAATGCTATAAATGGAATGGATTAAAACATGACTGTCCCATAGTTCTTCTGTTTTGGTGCCTAGGATAACCAACATCAGGTTATGTACACATAATACAAAGGAAAAATCGGAAATTCATAATCCAACATCACAATGTAACCATGGTATTGAAAGTGAAATAAAATTAAGAATGGAAATTGGGAATGTGTCAAAGAGACAACAACCCAACCAAAGAGCAGAAAGCAACTGAAGGCCATCAATGAGTCTTCAACACAGCGAGAAAATCCAGCAACCGGAGGCGGTCTTCAGCTGGCCCCTAAACAAAAAATGTGTACTAGTTCAGTGAAAAAAGACGTCACACTAAACTCCAAAACATATAAATGAACTAAAATTAAAAAAACATACAAGACTAACAAAGGCCAGAGGCTTGAGATCCGAACTTGGGACAGGCGCAAAAATGAGTCGGGGTCTGTTCAATAGTGCTTCGGGTAATTTATCTACACATATGGTTTATTTGCCGCTGCTTGTAGTTACAGGGTAGATCCCTAAAGAGTTATTGTTAAAAGAGTATTTTCATTGTATTAATATAATACTTTTGTACTTTGATTTTTTAGAGCATTGATGGTAAACACTATAACAGTTAAATATTTTATCTTTCAGATAATTGAAAGTAAACAATACCGTTTTCAACTTTCAACTAATCTTTCTCATGTTCTACTGTTACTTCGCTATCTGAGGTAAGGAGGAGGGTTGAGTGCTCACAATATGTTTAATCCTACCACATTCTGTCATTCCATGGTTGTCCATAGTTACTGTCTGCCATATGTTTTAAGCATAAGGGAGCTACCATTTGATTTTTATGGGGGGCTAGGATGAAATTTGAAAAAAAAGGCAGGACAAGAGTTTTGAGTAAAAAAAAAGGCAGGATGACAATTTATGTAAAAAAAGTCAGGATAAACTAATAAAAAAAAAGGCAGGACCGAATAGAGTGAAAAATAAAAAGGCAGGACAGAGATTACAACTAATAAATGTGGATAGTGTCCACATGTGAACACAGATGATGCCCCTGCTTGCATATCATATAGTTATAAAGAGACATAACTGAAGAACGGTAAAAGTGACACTACCCAAATTCAACTTGATCTGAGTTTTGTGGTAATAAGCAGTGTGTAAGACTCATAAAATTTCGATAAAGGGGCATAACTCAATAATGGTTAAAGTGACACTACCCAAATTCAGCTTGATCTGTGTTTTATCAGTTGAAGTCAAAATTAAACATTGAATTGTATAAAGCATTGATTGTAGTTGATTCAACTATAATCATGGACAAAGGAAGATAACTCCAATTTTAAAAATTACTTGATATTTAGAAGAAAATAAAAATTTTGCAATTTTTCCATTTATAAAGGGGCATAACTCTAGAACGGTTAAAGTGACGCCACCAAAATTCAAACTTGATCTGTGTTTTATGGTAATAAGCATTGTTTTTAAGTTTCATAACATTTGGTTGAGGCAAACATAAGTTAGAGAACGGAAACGATAAATTCAGCAATTTTTCCATTTGTAAAGGGGCATAACTCTAGAACGGTAAAAGTGACCCCACCAAAATTCAAACTTGATCTGTGTTTTGTGGTAATAAGCATTGTGTATAAGTTTCATAATATTTGCTTGAGGCAAACTAAAGTTAGAGAACGGAAACCAATTTTGGGACGTACGTACGTATGTAAGTACGTACGTACAGACGGACAAGGGTAAAACTTAATGCCCCCTCCGCTACGGCAGGGACATAAAAAAAATGCAGGACAAAATTTTTCATCCTAGCCCCCCCCCATAAAAATCAAATGGTAGCTCCCTAAATCAGGCTGTTGTTTTCTCCATTTGAATTGTTCACATTTTGTCATGCCTGTGCCTTTTATAGATTAAAGTATGGTATGGGTTTTGCTCATTGTTAAAAGCCATACTCTGTCCAGTGGTAACTGGTTGCTTGCATCTTCATCTTTTGGTCTCAGGTGGATAGTTGTCTCATGGCAATCATACCACATCTTCTTACTGTTTCAATACAATAGATTTATACCTTGATCCTTTAGAGCATTGTCTAGAAATTCTGCTGCCTTGTCAAATTCTGGAGCCATTTTAAATGTTGATATGTCATTAGCTTTTATTCCATAATACTGTATCCTTGCATTCTTAAAGTATCCAGAAGAAGTGTTTATCTGGTTGAATTTGGTCCCCTGAGCACAGTTCAACACATGTGTTATATTTTCTTTCTGTAATTTTTCTATGTTTGAGGCTATCTCTCTGAAAAATAAAATCATGATTAGATAATACCAATCCCTCTTTCAAAAGCGGTTAAAATACTTTCCAGAGAATCATTTCAAGCATGTCAACCAGAATTACATAATGAGTAGTATAGTTTTGGAAGCTGTTTTTATAATGTGAATCAACGATAACAAGAATGTGTCCATTAAGTACACGGATGTCCTACTTGCACTATCATTTTCTATGTTCAGTGGACCGTGAAATTGGGTCAAAACTCTAATTTGGCATTAAAATTAGAAAGATCATATCATAGGGAACATGTGTTCTAAGTATCAAGTTGATAAGACTTCCAACTTCATCAAAAACTACCTTGACCAAAAACTTTAACCTGAAGCGGGACAGACGGACTAACGAACTGATGCACAGACTGAAAAACATAATGCCCATAAATGGGGCATAAAAAAACATGTAGCATATAAAATATAGGATATGCCAAAACACATAATTAACAGCGCCTGGTGTTGATACAAAGACTGACAGGTTACAGTCATTCACGGACCTTCTTCAAAGGCAGAATGATTGATTAATTGTTGCACCCTATTTATATAGATCCAGTATCCGGCAGATAAGTTATCCTGTACATTATAATATAAATAAATATTATTTAATTTCAGGCATGACAAAATGAAAGGTTCTAAAAAAACCTTAACTTGGATCTACGCCAATTATCAAAACTGGAATTTCACCATCTATACAGTAATACTAACTACATTGACACAGAGAAATGTCATGCTTTTTGAAATTTTGATTGTAAAATGCAAATGTTGAAATTAAAATGGCAATATTTAAACATATAAACTATGCATATCATTTATAAATTCAATATACCATGACTGAGGGTAGGGTCAAATAATCATTGACCTAGCTAGAACATGTAGAATTAGGCATATGCTGTTTCTATTTTGAATAAAGGTCTTAAAAATTCAATAGCTATAAAAGTACCAATCTAATATTAAATATTATCAGGATAAATGACCTGTTTAAAATCATTGTAACTATGCATTATCTATTTTCCTTGACAACCTGTTCAAGTTCTATGGGATACTGTTTACATTTTGTACATGACGCCCAGCCTGTGCACTCTGAGGAGAGTCCCATGTCCATAGCTTAAAAGAATTTCAGTGACTGTTAATAGTATACTTGATATAAATAGATTGGTAGTTAAGATAATAAGATAATCAAGAGTGCACAAGCTGAAATGTCTCACCTGCTTTACTTATCATTATTAAATGTTGAAAATCTGTAATATGAAGGTTTAACTACAAGTATCACATACATGTACACTTAAAATTATTGACATATATACAACTTACAATCATACCATACACTAAATATAGTGAGCCTATTGCTTATGATATCTGAGAAACAGACTTGCCCACAACAAAAGTGCACACACTGAAATGTCTCTCCTTCTTTACTGACCATTGATTTTATGTTGATAGTCCTAAATATAAAGATTTACTACAACTATCACATAAAATTAACATGATCCAAGAAAATGAAGTCAAGATAGGCTAAATGAAACTAGAAATACATGTATGTAAACCTTACAATCATTCCATACACCAAATAAGCTTTATATATAGTTGACCTATTGCACAACTAAGAAACAAGCTGAACCAGAAAAATTAACATTGATCAATGAACCATGATAATGAGGTCAAGGTCAGATGAACCCTGCCAGACAGACATGTACACCTTACAATCATTACATGCTTTAAAAGTAGCTGACCTATTGCATATAGTGCTCATGTATAGTATCTAAGAAACAAACTTTACCAGGAAAACTTAAGATTGACCAATGAACCATGAAAATGAGGTCATGGTCAGATGATAATTTCCAGATAGACATATACACCTTACAATCATTCCATACACCAAATATAGTTGATCTATTGCTTAAAGTATTAGAAAAACAGACCAAAGAACAACAAGAGTGCAAATGCTGAAATGTCTCGCCTACTATACTGACCATTGATTTTATGATGATCGTCCTAATTATAAAGTTTAACGACAAGTATCACATTAACATATATGAACCGTGGGTCAAATAAAGCCTGCGAGACTGACATGTGCATCATAAAATATTTCCATACAGCAAATATAGTTGACCTATTGCATATAGTATTAGAAAAAAAGACCAAAACTCAAAAACTTAACTTTGACCACTGAACCAGGAAAATGAGGTCAAGGTCAGATGACACCTGTCAGTTGGACATGTACACCTTTCAATCGTTCCATACACCAAATATAGTAGACCTATTGCTTATAGTATCTGAGATATGGACTTGACCACGAAAACTTAACCTTGTTCACTGATCCATGAAATGAGGTCGAGGTCAAGTGAAAACTGTCTGACGGGCATGAGGACCTTGCAAGGTACGCATATACCAAATATAGTTATCCTATTACTCATAATAAGAGAGAAATTAACATTACAAAAAATCAGAACTTTTTTTTCAAGTAGTCACTGAACCATGAAAAGGAGGTCAAGGACAATGGACATATGACAGATGGAAACTTCAGAACATAAGGCATCTATATACAAAGTATGAAGGATTCAGGTCTTCTACCTTCAGAAATATTAAGCTTTTAAGGAGTTTGTTAACGTTGATGTTGCCGGATCAGTATCCCCATGTCGAGCTTTCTGCGACAGAAGTTGCAGGCTTGACAAAAACTTAACCTTGCTCACTGATCCATGAAATGAGGTAGAGGTCAGGTCACTCTGTCTAACAGACATGAAGACATCGCAAGAATCCCATATACCAAATATTATTTGCCTATTACTCATAATGAGTATTTCACATGACAAAATAATTGTTCATCTTATTCAAGCAATCACTGAACCATGAAAATGAGGTCAAGGACAAATGGACATATGACAGACAAAAGATTTGTAACATACATATAAAGTTTTTTACAGATAGGTTAAGTAGCAGCTGCCTGATTGTAATCCCTGTCTCGCAGGCAAGACAAAAACTACTGAACAAAGTATAAAGACACAATAATTTGGCGTCAAAGATGCCACAATTTGTTTTTGCCTAGGTGGTGAAAACTGACAATTACATTTGTACCTACTTCAATTGAAAACACTGAAAACTGGCTTCCCTTGATGAATACCTGAATATTGACTTACTTGTCTCCAATGAAAATTCCAGGATAGACCTCATTATAATGGTCTTTAGGTCCACCAGGTAAAACAAACATCCAGAAAGTTGGCTGGGCTCCATTTGGTGCTTTATCCTCTAAATGTCTGTTTTGTGACTGTAACAGTAGGCTTCTAATTTCACCAAATAACTGTGGATCATACTCTGCCATCACTACCTGAAAAGTGTATGATACTATCATGTGTTATTCTTATCATGCTTATCATCTGAAAAGTGTATCATGTGTTATTCTAATCATTCTTATCACCTGAAAAGTGTATCATGTGTTATTTTACTCATGCTTGTCATCTGAAAAGTGATCACGTGTTATTCTAACCAAGCTTGTCATCTGAAAAATTTAAACCAGGTGTTATTATGATAATCTGGAAAGCTTAAATCATTTGTTACTTTTATAATCAGAAAAGTTCAAACCATGTACTATTTCAATATTTTGAAAAGTTAACAATGTGTTATTTTAATACCCAGAAAAAATAACAATGTGTTATTGTAATACCCAGAAAAGTTTACCATGTGTTATTGTAATAACCAGAAAAGTTTACCATGTGCTATTGTAATAACCAGAAAAGTTAACAATGTGTTATTGTAATACCCAGAAAAGTTTACCATGTGTTATTGTAATAACCAGAAAAGTTTACCATGTGTTATTGTAATAACCAGAAAAGTTTACCATGTGTTATTATAATAACCAGAAAAGTTAACAATGTGTTATTGTAATAACCAGAAAAGTTTACCATGTGTTATTGTAATAACCAGAAAAGTTTACCATGTGTTATTGTAATAACCAGAAAAGTTAACAATGTGTTAAGATAATTTACATCATTAACCATGTTAACCAATATTAAAAATTTTGTGGATGTGTTGTTAATGTCTGTAAATAAGCAGGTTTAATTCTTAAATGTATGAAACAATTACCTGTGTAATTTGAATTTTATTTCAATGCTTGAATAACATCCCTTCATGCTGCTCCAAAAACTTACATTATCCAAGTAATTATTTTTTACAACCCCTGAAACTCTTGTGTTAGGAAATCAAAACCTGCCTCAAAATTTTTTTCTGGTTTGCTTACTATTTTTAAACCCTTTTTATATCAAGAACTTAAGGAAGTCTACTTGGAACAGATGTTAAGAAACTGCAATTTGTAATGGGCAGTCTTTAAAAAAAAAAAACAGTCCAAAAAGATTTTCATTGTCCATGAAATTATACTTTTATAAAGAGTAAAGACAACTATTCAAGACAAAAATTGAACACTTTATGATAGCAATGTAGTCAAAGAGTTGAACACTTTATGATAGCAATGTAGTCAAAAGTTGAACACTTTATGATAGCAATGTAGTCAAAGAGAAATATATTAAAAGAGAAAATATTACTTTCATACTTAAAGGGGCTCGAGGGTATAAATCCATTTTTTTTTTAAATATAGAATTTCGATATTTTCTATAAAATGAACTTTATCATATACTTAATGGAAAAATAAAATAAAAAAATGGGGTCACCGTTCATATAAGCTCACAATCTGCCTTTGAAAGAAGCATGCATGCATGTTTGTTAAGGTACTTTTTTTTCTGTTGATCTAATAGGAGAAATAGAGGTAATATCGAAATAAAATAAAATTCTCCGCAGGGCGCAGCTTGATACGACCGCAGAGGTCGAACCTTGAACAGTTGGGGCAAGTATGGACACAACATTCAAGCTTGATACAGCTCTGAATTTGGATTGTGATTAAATATTTGACACAGCATAGGTTACTGACACAGAATGAATGTGGTCTTAAGAACTTAAAAATTTTAAATTGGACATTCACCTATTATGGTCCAATATCCAAAATCTAAATACATGGTTAGATTCAGCATATCAAAGAACCCCAAGAATTCAATTTTTGTTGAAATCAAACAAAGTTTAATTTTGGACCCCGATTTGGAACAACTTGAAAACTGGGCCCATAATCAAAAATCTAAATACATGTTTAGATTCAGCATATCAAAGAACCCTAAGAATTCAATTTTTGTTAAAATCAAACTAAGTTTAATTTTGGACCCTTTGGACCTTAATGTAGACCAATTTGAAAACGGAACCAAAAATTAAGAATCTAAATACATGGTTAGATTCGGCATATCAAAGAACCCCAATAATTCAATTTTTGATGAAATCAAACAAAGTTCAATTTTGGACCCTTTGGACCTCAATGTGGACCAATTTAAAAACGGGGCCAAAAATCCAAAAACTTAATACACAGTCAGATTCAGCATATTAAAGAACCCCAAGAATTCAAGAATAAAACCCCATTGAAATTGGTCAAGAAATAAGCAATTTATACGAAGTATCTTCTTTTGCACAATACTGTGCAATTGAATATTTCTTGCTATTGTGCAATACTGTACAATTGACAATTTCTTGCTATTGCGCAATATTGTGCTATTGGATATTTCTTGCTATTGGGCAATACTGTGCAATTGAAGATTTCTTGCTATTGCGCAATACTGTGCAATTGAAGATTTCTTGCTATTGTGCAATACTGTGCAATTGAAAATTTCTTGCTATTGCACAATACTTATTATATAATAATTTACACATCCTGTTTGGTGTGTATCTCCTACCATATCATTATTATTTGCTTTTAAATATAAATCAGAAATAACCAACTTAAAATGGAAAATTTTAAAAGAAAATAAAAAGGAAAAAGGAAAAAAAGGAAACCCCCCCCCCAAATTTTTTGAAACCCCTTATGATTCATCACCCCCAAACTCAATCCCAGCCTTCCCTTTGTGGTATGGTACCTTGCAGTACAATTTCAGAGAGATCCATACACTTGAACACAAGTTATTGTCCTGAAACTAGAAAAATGCTTGTTTTTTTCCCCTTTTTGGCCCCTAATTCCTAAAATTTTGAGGCAATTACCCCCAAAATTAATCCCAGCCTTCCCTTTGTGGTATGGTACCTTGCAGAACAATTTCAGAGAGATCCATACACTTGAACACAAGTAATTGTCTGGAAACTAGAATAAACTGCTTCGCTGAGCGCAGCTAGATACGCCCGCAGAGGTCCAACCCTGAACAGCTGAGGCAAAAAAGGACACAATATTCAAGCTTGATACAGGTCTGAATTTGGATTGTAATTAAATATTTGACATATTATAGGTTTCTGAATAAATGTAGTCAAAGAACTTGAAATTGGTTATATGAATTGAATTATATTCAATTAAAGATTTCTTGCTGTTGTGCAATACACTATGCTGTTGCGCAATACTTAGTAAATCTGTTGTCAGACTATAAACAAATAAAATTTATAAAATTCTAAAGGGAGCTAACATCAATAGATATAATCGATTCACCAAATTATCATAAGAATTGCTGAAAGAATTTTTGAGTTATTGTCCGAAAACTGAAAAATCCCCCTTTTTTTTATGCATAAAACCCTGTAACTTGGAAAAGTAAAATCTAAAATTCATAAAAATCAAAAGGGAGCTCATGTCAATAGATATAAACAATTAACCAAAATTTCTTGCAAGTTGGTGAAAGCATTCTTGAGTTATTGTCTGAAAACTGGAAAATCCCCCCTTTTTTAATGAATAAAACCCCATAACTCGGAAATGTAAAATGTAAAATTTATAAAATTCTAAAGGGAGCTTACATCAATAGATATCAACAATTCATTAAAGTTTCATGAGAACTGCTGAAAGCATTTTTGAGTTATTGTCCGAAAACTGGAAAATCCCCCTTCTTTTTATGAATAAAACCCCGTAACTTGGAAACGTAAAATCTAAAATTTATAAAAATCAAAAGGGAGCTCATGTCAATAGATATAAACAATTAACCAAAATTTCTTGCAATTTAGTGAAAGCATTCTTGAGTTATTGTCCGAAAACTGGAGAATCCCCCTTTTTTTAATGAATAAAACCCCACAACACGGAAACGTAAAACTTAAAATTTATAAAAAACGAAAGGGAGCTCACGTCAATAGATATAAACAATTCACCAAAGTTTTATGCAAATTGGTTAAAGCGTTTTTGAGTTAATGTCCGACATGTTGACGACGGACGGACAGACGGACGGACGGACAGACGGACAAAGGTATACCATAATACGTCCCGTAAACGGGCGTATAAAAATGCTATTTTTGGCCCCTTTTTGGCCCCTTATTCCGAAACGTTTTGGGCAATTACCCCAAACTCAATTCCAGCTTTCCCTTTGTGATATGGAACCTTGTAGTTCAATTTCAGAAAGATCCATACACTTACACACAAGTTATTATCATGAAACTAGAAAAATGCTTGTTTTTTGTCCCTTTTTTGGCCCCTAATTCCTTAAATTTTGAGGCAATTACCCCCAAAATCAATCCCAGCATCCCTTTTGTGATATGGAACCTTGTGGTACAATGTCAGAGAGATCCATACACTAACACACAAGTTATGTCTGGAAGTTACAAAAATGCTTATTTTTGGCCCCTTTTTCCTTAACTGTTGGTACCATAACCCCCAAAATCAATCCCAACCTTCCTTTTGTGGTATTGAACCTTATGGTAAAATTTCACGGAGATCCATTCACTTAAACTAAAGTTAGAGTGCGAAAACCAATGTGTCTTCGGACGACGACGACGCCGCCAACGTCATACCAATATACGACCAAAAAAATTTTAATTTTTGCGGTCGTATAAAAAGAACTATATTACAGAAATCGCTGAAATTTTACAATTGTTTAGTTAAAGAACAGCTTATTGAAAAAAAATAATAAAAAATATAGGTCATCGATGAGTTAAAAAAGATATTTAATTTTAATGCAAACAAATGGCATTTTTGCACCAAATAGGAGATAATTTGGAGATTTTTCAATGATATAAACATTTTAATAGTCATCTGGGGCCAAAGGAATTGATTTTTTTGGTTGATTTTTGTACCATAACATAAAGTAACAACTAATAGTGTAATAAATAAAATTTGTAATGAAAAAAAAAATGTTTAAATTTTTGTACCATCGAGCCTCCTTAAGTAAGTAAAAAGTAATAAATCTGAATGACTAAAGGAGATAAATCTATCCCATACTGCCAACTTTTTATAATTTACATAATATTTTCAATACAAGAAAACATAATCAAGTAATGCATCCCTTTTACATGTCATATATGTTCTCTTATACATATACATGTTATATGTGTTCTCTTATACATGTACATGTCATATATGTTCTCTTATACATGTACATGTTATATGTGTTCTCTTATACATGTACATGTCATATGTGTTCTCTTACACATTACATGTCATATGTGTTCTCTTATACATGTACATGTCATATGTGTTCTCTTATACATGTACATGTCATGTGTTCTCTTATTCATGTACATGTCATGTGTGTTCTCTTATACATGTGTACATGTCATATGTGTTCTCTTATACATGTACATGTCATATGTGTTCACTTATACATGTACATGTCATATGTGATCTATTATATACATGTACATGTCATATGTGTTCTCTTATACATGTACATGTCATGCCAAAAAAAAATATATGTCAAAAGCGACGTTAGAGTTGCCAATAAAATAAATCAATTGCCTGATACATCTAAATGTTCACAATCGTGAATATGACAGCTGTTTTAAGAAACTTGTGACTCATGTGATGAAATAAACACTCAAAATCATGTCGCAAAAAAAAAAAAGAAAAATGAAAATAAAATGAAAATACCGACCTACCTACCCTATTTTTTTTAAATGATGCAACCTTAAACAGAAAAATATTTTTTTTTGGCCTCATATATGTTCTCTTATACATTTACATGGCATATGTGTTCTCTTATACATGTACATGTCATATATATTCTCTTATACATGTACATGTTATATGTGTTCTCTTATACTTGTACATATCATATACATGTATGTTCTCTTATATATGTGCATGCCACGTGTGTTATCTTATACATGTACATGTCATATGTGTTCCCTCATACATGTCATATATGTTCTCTTATACATGTACATGTCATATATATGTTCTCATATACATGTCATATGTGATCTCTTATACATGTACACATCATAAAAATTGTCATTTACATAAGTTTTTAGTATTTAATATTCTGCGATTTTTAATGCCCTTCTTAGGTATTTAGTTCATATAATCGACCATTTCAAGTGTCAGGTCAGTACATATCATAAGGGAAATCCTGGAATAAAAGCGAGACTTACAAAACAGTGAATCTAGGAAAATATGATGTTAGTTGTACAAAAAAAAAATCTATTTTACTTTTGAAGGTATACCATACTTGCTTCCAAATTTATGTTAAAATTTTGAGAATTGTAATAAAACATAATAACCTGACGTGAACCTTTATCAGATCGTTTATGTTTGAGTTTCCGACAGTTCTAATTCGACACAACTCATTGTAAGGATACACAATTTCAGCACCAAAACAAAAACTCAATATTTTCATCATTTCTATGCTGATTAGCTATAGTTGCATAAAAAGATGTCAAATGGGCAAGGCTTCATTACATAATTGGCATGACTTCATGACATAAATAAACCTCCAATAATACACGAAATAAAGAGATTCCATTCCTCTCTACTATAAAAATCTGAGGAATAAAAGTGCAATACAATTAAGAGATAACTGTATTGTATTTGAAGCTTTGCAGACGTCCATCGGTAGGATTACTGTCGCAAATTGAGTTTACCTGACATAGCGTCGCCAGGTAAACTCAATTTGCGACAGTAAAACTACCGATGGACGTCCGCAAAGCTTGAAATACAATACAGTTATCTCTATTCTAATGCAAAATAAACAAATCGTTGAATTTTAGTCATTATTTCAGTGTAAAATTTTCATTAAACAAAAATTCCGCGAAATGATGTTATCTTCTTTGGAGCATAAACTATGTGACGTCATAGGTAAACTTCCGGCATCAAACGTAAACACCGGACGTTTTCTGGCTACTTGTCAGCTTCAGAATGGAATAAAATTTGATAAAAAGAAAATTTGTAGGTGCAAAATTTAAGTTTTTTTTGCTTATTATTGGAAAAATTACATGTCAATACATTCCGGAATTCAAAATGTCGGCTTCCTTAGTTACAGACAAAGAGATAGAGAATTTTACGCTTACTGTCATCCAATCAGAACCATAGATACAAACTAATTGCATTAGAATTTAAATTGAAATAACTGAATTTTGTGAGTTGTTGCATGTACGTGTTAAAAAACATGTAATGGAGGGCCTATATTTGAAAACATTATACATTACTTGCCTTTAAGGCTTGATAATTGACTAGTTCTAAACCAACTATACACAAAGCCCTATATAGCTTGCTGTACTCATCGTATGCATTTAAGGAGGGATAACATTATATGGAAATTTTGTTTTTATTTCAATACATTTCTATTATATCTATTTAATGGAATGTTTTCTTCTGAATCTATAATTGATAGCGTCATTGCTAAAACAGAACAAACATTGTAATGATCAAGTGTTCAGTGTTTACAAGGGAGGTAATATTTGGACAATTGATTTCCCACAGTAGTAGTGTACTGGGCTTTAAACATAGAGCCATTTGGTCTTATCACACACTTCCCCTTTTACATTTTTAGCAGAACTAACTTTTTATCATAAATATTATAAGATTATTTCATTTTGATACATCTAGACAAAACTTGGAATGCATAGATGTGTTTATACACCTATGGAATGACAACCTAAATCTTGTTATTTTTATTTTAAACTTAACATGCTTGTACAAGTCCGGTACCGGTTACCGTCAGAAATTCGTAGTTTTCTCAAATATTTTTTTTTAAATGAAACTCCTGTTGAAAATATTTTTTTTTACCAGAAAAAGGGTTACCAAGAGTAAGGTTAAACACCACACATTAATCTGAAATCAATGACGAAAATGAAATAAATGACGAAAATCTGTATACTCAGCTTTATAGTGTGCCAATTTTGCTCTATGGTTACCAGGACCAGTTACTGGTTAATGTCTGAACAAGCCCCTGTGGCCAAATATGCAGGAACAGAGACTCATATCCTGGGTTTGAACTTGGGTAAAGTCTAAGGAGTTGGATGAAATATGTCAAAAATGAGACAGATACAAAACGTAAATAGCTCGTTAAAAATACTTACCTAAGGAGTTATTTTTGTCAGTTGAAGTACTTGTCTTTAGGATTTTCTGGAAAATATAACACCTGGCCTCGTCATATATTTATATATATAAATAATCTATTAATAAATATTACACCTTTCTGTTAATCACACTATAACTTATAAACCGATATATAACAGTAACTGTAACTAGGAATACCATTTATAGAAATAATGTCATGTTCAACTTTTACAAATTTCGATTTTTGAAATAACAACTGCACATCTCTGTTGCTTGGAGTCATCGGTACTTTTTTTTAAAGTACAAATGTACTAAAACTGCCGAAATACATCTATTGTTATTATTGCTTTGTCTCCCTTGAAAGGCGCGTTTGACCGGGGGATTTTATGGGATATCTATTAACCGAATATTTAATTAAGAGAAGAGAAGAGAGAGAGAATCCGGGTCCGTTCGCCTTGATACGCGTTCACCCTGGGTCCGTTCGTCCTTATAACTGTTTGTCCTGCGTCCGTTCGCTCTGATTTTTATTTCATTTTGTTGTCTTAATGTATAATGCCAGAGACATGTATGGGTCATTTTAAAAAAATGTCGAATTTTCAGTACACCCCGCATGCTAAAATATTTATTTCTAATTGAAATTTCAGTTGGAATTGTTTAAATGAAAGCTTGTAGGATTAATAATAAACACGATTTACATCTGTTTTGATAAGATTAAAATGTATTTAAGTCCGATTTTGGGGTAATTTGTGTGCGTACAGTGTCAGAGTAACACACTTCAAATGATTTTTTTCCAATTTTCTAATCGCCGTGATGTCTGCAAAAGGGACTTTTTAAGAACGTTAATAATAACTCTAACGAAAAATCGTAGCTTCTTTAATATTATATATAACATTTTATCTACAAACTAAGTTCAATCAGCGTACATGAAGTTCATGTCCATCCTGTTACCGCTACTTAAATCAGGCGTTAAATTGTCCTCCCTATGAATATTGAATTGGTCAGTTTTGATTTCAAAAGTGCAAAGTAACCTTAACATTTAACGCAGCACGTTTCTTGAACCACAGTGAAGAGTAAAAAAAATTTCAAGACTTTTAGTGAAAAAAAATAGAGGGTACTTTTTTTTCATGTCTATGCTGTTACCAACATGTTGATTAATTACACCAAAAATTTACTTGTAAAAAGTTCCATTACGTGTTGGAAACCAAGATCACTACAGAACATTATCACTTCACCAAAGGGAGTAGTTATTTCACAACAGCATTCAAAAATGAAGAAATTTGTCTATCCTGTTACTATGGTTGCTATGGTTACAGTAACAGGATAGACAATTGTAGACAGAAACGTCTTTAAAATGTTTATCATAACATATAGTTGCAAACATAATGAAATATTTCGTTGTTTAAACTCGTCTTAAGGTTATAACGTCTTAATCTTCCCAATTTAGCATTTGCAGGTGCAATACTGATATTGGTAACAGGATAGAACTTTATATAGAGATTAATACATGGCCTTTTCCATATCGGCCTGGGTATCATCCCGAGACCCCCATATCAGCCCGAGACGTAGTCGAGGTGCTGATATGGGTCGAGGGATGATATCCGGGCCGATATGGAAAAGGCCATGTATTAATCTCTTTATCATATACTTCCGACAATTGTTTTATGTAAGGCAAATAAACAAATGAAGTAACTAAAACAGTCAAAAACTTTTTAAAGAAGTTAAATCATGAATCCAACAAATACACTATAATTGTCCAACAATAGCATCACTACCTCCATATATATTAAGGTACCATTTCCTATAGAGGCATTTTGAAACATTAAAAATTTGGAAGCTGGAAGCATGGAGGAAGTATTTACAGTTTTATGATCATTATTACTACATGTTGTACTATATGAGATGATTCATAATTGTCAATGGCATTTATTAGCAAGTAAACTAGCATCATTTTAAAAATCTATATCATCGGATTTAGCCATTTTAACATCTTTTTTTCAATAACAGCTGGTTCTGTACAAACAGATTTACCACTGGATCCAATAAACCTTATCGCTATTTGTCCGCCATTACTGGACATCCCAAAAGTTCCCGTAAAATTTTGACGTCATAATAAAAAATATCTGACGCCACAATGGAAAAGTAAACATACGATACCGGAAATACCGGAAGTAACTTGCACGAGAGGCACTGTTATGGGTTTTTTGCACGAGACGCCCCTGATATGGGTTATCAGCCCGGGTGGGAAATTATGGCTTGTGTACTTCCGTTCATTACACATATGCAAAAGCTATCATATTAATGCTAAGTATATGATAAATAGTGATATATCATTAACGTACGTTCCTGTTACCAATGAAATAAAGACAAAAGTAAACTAACATGTGAGGGATTTACTTGATGTAGGTTTTTTTTAAAGAGAGCAAAAATGCTGAACAATATGAATTGCTATCTAAGACTTGCATTACTGGTGGTAATTTTATAACCTTTGAAAACCAATTTTTAGAGGCATTTTTCAGTACAACCTGGAAAATTGGCAAATACTCTATTATTTCACAGAATGAATATATATAGAAGTTAAAACTCTTGAAAACCATCTAATTGGCTACGAAAAACAAGCTTAATATTTTATCTAAACCTTTTCTTAATAACCTGAAATTTCTTTTGAACATGGTAACAGGAGAGACAAAATAGTGTACCACCTATCAAAAAATGTTTCAAGATATTCTTGTATGACATTATTAAGATTGCATCTTTTAATATGTTGTTCTATAAGTACTGTTTGTTTTGAATTGCTAATGAAGAGGGTTGTTTGAATAAGTAACTTTTAATAATTTTTTCAATTTCAAAATTCGACGTTTTTTGAAAATGACCCATATACACATGTGTGTATATATGTCTCTGATAATGCTTATTATTTGAAAAGAGTATACGATATGTTAAAGCTGGGACTATTATACTAACTGTTAGTATAATAGTCCCAGGTTAAAGTTTGTTGAAAATTTCGATATTTATGTTGTTTTTGCTGCTACCAAATATTTTTTTCCCTTTCATCTGCACTGAAGAGTACCAGGAATATAAAGTATTCAATAAAACAACTGAAGACCATGTTATCTGCATGTTTTTATCTTCATTGATAAATTTTAACAATTTCAAATAATCATTAACAGTTATAACAAGATCAAGTTCGAACTTCGCATCACACACCAGTTATGTCCTTAATTTTTTACACTTTTATTTTGATGAACACATAATATAGGAAATGTGTCAAAACTTCCGGCTACTTCTCTTTCTACAATATAGTGACCGCCTTCAACAAATTGAAGATTATGTCACAGGAGGATAACTTACAAAAAGACATATATTAATATATATACTTCTTCTATATATGTATGTCCTTCCAATTATGGAACACCTCCTCAACGGATATTATCCAGGTGGGGAGTTAATTAAAACTTAAATAGTATGCACTAAAAGTTTTCCACAAATAACTAAAAAAAATATTTTTGATTCACTGTACACGGATAAAATCTAATATATTTAAGGACTGATAAAAAAAATTCTTACGCAATTAAAAGGTAAAAATATCTAGGCCTTGTGTCAGGGGTATTGCCTAGTGTCCAGTTTAAGTCGGACCTGTTTATATTTTTCGGTTTGTTGAGGATGACAGGTTTAGTTTTGGTAGGATTTATTGTTACTCTAGACTGTCTGGCATGATGAGTTGCAACAGAAAGCATGCATTGTAATTCCTGATGGCTGCTGCTTAAGAAGGCTATGTCGTCCGCACAAGTTGGGCAACCATATACAAATTAAAAAATAGCGGAAAATGAAAATTACAAATGTACAATTAGTTGATGTGAACTTGAGATCAAAGAAGCCAAGCAGTGTGCAAAAAAGAATCCCTTTTATGTCTTACAATTCGTTCATCGTTGTTTTTGCTAATTCCAAGCTTACTAGTTTATTTTTAACTTGAAAAACATGTTACTTTCATTATTTAGGTTGTAAATATGCAGGAATGGTAAAATTCTATTTCAGAAATGGATAAAAATAATGTTCATAGGAGGGTTTTTTTTTTCTAGCATGATTTGTCAGTTTTTTTGTTATTGTATATGAGGGTCTGTATTTTTTCTGTATTCTTTAATTTGTTAGGCCACTTTTCTCTATTCAATAAAAATTGCTTACTTTGTAAAATTCTGGTGTTCGGGTCTTCATTTACAAATTTCGTTTTATATCATAATGTTTTCATAATAATTCTTCTTGTCTGTTTCAACCTACTGTAGATCGTTATTATTGAAGAGTGATCACAGAGTACTCCCCGAAGTGTGCCTCTTAACATACAATTACCTTCCACTTGGGCCGATTCGGAATGTTTTGAAGGGTAGCGTAATTCCAAAAAACATACCGGCGAACGGAGTGAGCGCGATCATCATTTTGGTCGATTTTATGTTAACCCCCCCCCCCCCCCCCCCCAAAAAAAAAAAAAAAACACACACACACTCCTTTCCATTCTGAAATTTTTCAAACCCCTTCCCTTTAATTTCCTTCTATCCCCCTTTCAGGTTACAACTGATGACCGGTCCCTTACAGAAATTATTGCCCTTCCAATGTCCGATTTTTGTAAATTTTTGCGTCTTTTTTTACTAACATCTTAAGAATGTAATAGATAAAGAGAAACTTGAACAGCTAAAATTATCAGCAAGGTAGAATTTACAACAAAATGAACACAAATGAAATTGTGTATATACTTCTTATAGAAATATCTGTCTCTAAAAAGGAAAGGCAGGATTCTGTCCTCACGCACCTATGAAATGGATGATAACTTATTTTCATTTACAAGCAATCTGCACCAATATGATATCATTCTAGAGTTAAAATACAAATAAGATGTGATATGATTGCCAATAAGACAACCATCCACCAGTGTTCGAATGAAGTGGATGTAAGCAATTATAGGCAACCGTACGGACTTCAATAATGAGGAAAACCAATGCCGTAATGTCAGCTATAAAAGGCCTCCGACGTGAAAAATGTGAAACAATTCAAACGAGAAAACTAACGGCCTAGTTTATAACAATTTTTTTTACAAAAAATCAAATATGACAGACATGAACCAACGACAACCACTGACTTACATGCCCCCGACTTGGGATAGGCACATAACGAATGTGGTGCGTTAAACATGTTTGTGATCACTT